CCCCCCCCCCCCCCCCCCCCCCCCCCCCCCCCCCCCCCCCCCCCCCCCCCCCCCCCCCCCCCCCCCCCCCCCCCCCCCCCCCCCCCCCCCCCCCCCCCCCCCCCCCCCCCCCCCCCCCCCCCCCCCCCCCCCCCCCCCCCCCCCCCCCCCCCCCCCCCCCCCCCCCCCCCCCCCCCCCCCCCCCCCCCCCCCCCCCCCCCCCCCCCCCCCCCCCCCCCCCCCCCCCCCCCCCCCCCCCCCCCCCCCCCCCCCCCCCCCCCCCCCCCCCCCCCCCCCCCCTCCCCCCCCCCCCCCCCCCCCCCCCCCCCCCCCCCCCCCCCCCCCCCCACCCCCCCCCCCCCCCCCCCCCCCCCCCCCCCCCCCCCCCCCCCCCCCCCCCCCCCCCACCCCCCCCCCCCCCCCCCCCCCCCCCCCCCCCCCCCCCCCCCCACCCCCCCCCCCCCCCCCCCCCCCCCCCCCCCCCCCCCCCCCCCCCCCCCCCCCCCCCCCCCCCCCCCCCCCCCCCCCCCCCCCCCCCCCCCCCCCCCCCCCCCCCCCCCCCCCCCCCCCCCCCCCCCCCCCCCCCCCCCCCCCCCCCCCCCCCCCCCCCCCCCCCCCCCCCCCCCCCCCCCCCCCCCCCCCCCCCCCCCCCCCCCCCCCCCCCCCCCCCCCCCCCCCCCCCCCCCCCCCCCCCCCCCCCCCCCCCCCCCCCCCCCCCCCCCCCCCCCCCCCCCCCCCCCCCCCCTCCCCCCCCCCCCCCCCCCCCCCCCCCCCCCCCCCCCCCCCCCCCCCCCCCCCCCCCCCCCCCCCCCCCCCCCCCCCCCCCCCCCCCCCCCCCCCCCCCCCCCCCCCCCCCCCCCCCCCCCCCCCCCCCCCCCCCCCCCCCCCCCCCCCCCCCACCCCCCCCCCCCCCCCCCCCCCCCCCCCCCCCCCCCCCCCCCCCCCCCCCCCCCCCCCCCCCCCCCCCCCCCCCCCCCCCCCCCCCCCCCCCCCCCCCCCCCCCCCCCCCCCCCCCCCCCCCCCCCCCCCCCCCCCCCCCCCCCCCCCCCCCCCCCCCCCCCCCACCCCCCCCCCCCCCCCCCCCCCCCCCCCCCCCTTCTGTTGGTTGGTTCTCCTCCTGTGGGGGGGTGTGGGGGATCTCCTTCTGGGGTGTGGCCCTGGCTGTGTGCCCTCTGTTGCTTCCTGGCTCTGGGGTCTTGTTGTGTGATGTGGTGTGGTGCCTGGGGGGAGTGGTAGGGTGGTTGTCTTCCTCTTTGTGGCCTGGTGTGTGGGGGCGGGTGTGGTTCTGGTGTGTCGTGGTAGGGGGGGTCTTGCTCCTTTCTCCCCTTCCTCCTCTTGTCTTCAGTCTTCCTCCCGTTATGCTCCTTCCCCTCTGGTTCCTCAGCCCCTTCCTAACCTCTTCTTCCTCCCCCTTCCTCTGCTTCTATTTGCCCTCTGTCTCTTTTCTCCTTCCTTCTCCTTCTCCCTCTCTCACCTCCTCTCCTCTTTTTTCCTCCATCTCCCTTCTACCCCCCTTGTCTCGCTAGCTTAGTTCTTTTTTAATCTCCCTCTCTCCCCTCTCTCCCTTCTCTCCATCTTTCATCCTTTTTCATCCTTTCTTCTTTCTCCCGCTCTTCTTTGTGCGTCCCTCCTGTTCCTCTTCATTGTCCCCCCCTCTCTCTCTCTGTACCCTCTGTTCCTCCCTCTTTTTATTTTCTCCTACCCCTTCTCCTCTAGTTACCATTCTTATGGAGCCTCTTCCTCCTTCCCTCCTTCTTCTTACCTTCTCCACGCTCCCCCTTGGTACTTCTCTGTCATCCTCTCCCTCCCCCTATTCCTCTTCTCCTATCCCTCTCTTCTTGTTATCTCTGGCCTGGGAGGGGGGTGGTCCCTCCTGGGGCTCCCTGTTGTTGTGCCTGGGGGGTTGGTGTGGGGGTCTTGGGTGGTGCGAATTCTCCTCTCTGTCTGGGGGCATGGGTCTGTGGGGGTGTGGGTGGTGTGGGGTGGGCTCTTGCTGGGGGTGGCTGGTGTGTGGGCTGTGTCTGGGAGTGATGGGTGCTGTGGGGCTGCCGAGTTGACTGGGGTCCTGGGGGGGGGGATTGTTGCTCCTCTCCTTTTTATCCCTCTCACTCTTTCCTCCTCTCTTGTACCTTTCCTCCATCCGTTTTCCTTACCACCCCCTCCTCTCTTCTCATCTAACTTCAATCTCCCGTCCTTTCCCCCCCCTCCTCTCATCTCCGTCTCTCCTATGCCTTCTCCTCCTTCTTTTCCTTCCCCATTCTCAATCTCCCTGTGCGTGGTCTCTTAATTCTCCCCTTCTTTGTTTTCTTCCCCCTCTTTCCTCCTAACCTCTTCTCTGTTCCTTCAATCTCCTCAGTTTCTTACTCTCTCCCTTTCCTCTCCTCCCACCTCCCTCCATCAGCGTTTCCTCCTCTTTCCTCATGCCTTATCACCTTCTTGTGTCTTACTCATTTCCCTCTTCCTTCTTCTCCCCCAGGCAAAGCTGGAAAGGGACATGGCCCCCGCGCAAAAACCCAACATGGAGCCCTAGAAAAACCATCTCCTCCTGCAGCCTGGAAGGGGTACCGCAAATGCCGCAGGACCAACATGGAGCCTAGAAACGTCTTTTCCTCCCTGCAGCTGAGGACAAAATGCCCCCCCGCAGATACCAACCATGGAGGCCCCCCTAGGAGAACATCTCCTCTGGGCAAGCTGGGAAAAGGACATGCCCCGCAGAAAAACCAAACATGGAGGCCCCCCCTAGAACATACTCCCTTCCTTCAATCCTGGAAAAGGACATTGCCCCGCAGGACCAACCATGAATCCTCGAAACCATCCTCTATTACCAAGCTGGAAGACATGCCCCGCAAGCAAAACCTCATGGAGCCCTAGAAACATCCTTCCTCTTGCAGCTGTAGGGAACCCAATGCCCCCGCAGACCAAACAATGGAGCCCTAGAGAAAGGATCTGTTCCTTGTCTTCAGCTGAGGGACATGCCCGCATAAGAACCAATAACATGGAGCCTTAGAAACATCCATCACTACCCTCTGTCAGGCCTGGGAGGAACAATGCCGCAGAACAAAAACAAGGGGAGCCCTATGAATACATCTACCCTTCTGGGCAGCCTGGAGGACATGCCGCAGAAAACCAACATGGTTAAAGCCCCCCTAAAGAACATCTCCTCGTGCAGCGTGGAAGGAACAAGTGCCCGCAATAACAACAGGAGCCTAGAAAAAACATCTCCTTCTACATGCCCTGGGAGGACAATGGAGCCCTAGAAACCAACCCCTCCCTCTGTCAGCTGTGGAGGGACATTGCCCGGTGCAGAACCAACATGGAAGCCCTAGAAAAAACAATCGCCTAACTGTGCAGCCTGGAAGGGAACATAATGGCCGCAGAACAAAAACATGGAGCCTAGAGGAAAACCATCTCCCCTCTGGGGCAGCCCTGGAAGGACATGCCCTGCAGACCAACAGTTGGGAAGCCTTAAGAAAACTCCTACCCCTCTGTGCCAAGTCTGGAAGGACCAATGGGGAGCCCTAAAGAGAAACATCTCCCATCCTACAGCTGGGAAGGGACATGCCGCAGACAAACATGGGAAGCCACTAGAACATCTCCCTCTAGCAAGCTGGAGGACAAGCCGCCCAAAGGACAAACATGAGGCCTATGAACATCTCCTCCCCAGCAAATCTTGGAGGAAACATGCCCCCCCGCCAAAAAAGGAACCAAAACAAATGGAGCCTAGAACATCTCCCACCTGTCAGCCGTTGGAGGAAACATGGCCGCAAGACCAAACAATGAGCCTAGAAACAATCTCCTTTCTGGGCACAGGATAAACAGGAGGCCCTAGATACCATCTCCCTCCTTACAGGCCTGGAGGTACCAAAATGCCCCCCGCAGAAACCAAAACATGGAGCCTTAGAACATCACCTCTACAGCCTTGGAGGAACCAATGCCCGCAGATCCAAAAACTAAAGGAGCCTAAAGAAAAATCCCCCTCCTTAACAGCCTGTGAGGACCAAAATGCCGTGACAGAGTGACCAAACCATGGAGCCCCACTATGAAAACACCCTCCTCCCTGCAAAGCTGGAGGGACCATGGAGCCTAATAGGGAACATCCCTCCCACGTGCTAAGTCCTGGAAGGAACAAAAAGGGAGCCTAAGAAAACATCTCCTCTGCACTGAGGTAAACATGGCCAGCCAGAACCAAACCAAGGAGCCACCTAAGAAAAAAAAAAAACATCCACCCTCCTGCAAGGCTGGAAGGTAAATGGAGCCCCCCCTAGAAAACATCTCCTCTGCAAAGCTGGGAGGGACAATGCCGCAAGACCTAAACCTAATGGGAGCCCTAGAATACATCTTCCTCTGCAAGCCTGGAGGACAAATTGCCCACGCCAGACCTAACATGGAAAGGCCTAGAACAACCCTACCTCCAGCAGCTTGGGAAAGGACAAAAATGCCCGCAAGAAACACCAACATGGGAAAAGCCTATGAAAGACATCTTCCACTGCAGCTGGGAAAGGAACCATGCCCGCACAGATGACCAAATGGAGCCCCCTAGGAAAACATCCTTCCCTCTGCAAAGCTGGAGGGACATGGAGCCCCCCTTCGAGAACAACTTCCCCCTCTGCAGCTGGGAGGACATACGCCCGCAAGAGACAAACATGGAGCCTAGAACCAACCACCTCCTGCAAGCTGGTAGAAGGAAGGACCCAATGTGCCCCCCCCGCATGACCGAACATGGAGCCCTTTAGAAACAGTCAATCCTCCTCGCAAAAGCTTGGAGGAAACCCAAGGCCCACGCAAAAGACAAACAAGGGGGAGTCCCCCCACTAGAACCCATCTCCTCTGCCAAGCCTGGGAAGGAACTGCCCCCCCCGTCCAGACCGCAACAATGTAGCCATAGAAAACATCTCCCCTCTTGCAGCCTGGGAAGGAAACCCAATGTCCCGCAGAAACCCCAACCATGGTAAAAGCCCAAGTAACAAATCTCACCTCTACAAAGCTTTTGTGGGATGACCATTGCCCCCGCAAAGACAAACCCATGGAGCCCTTAAGAAACTCCTCCCTCCTCCTGCCAGCTGGAGGAACATGCCCCCCGGCCGACCCCAAACAAGGAGCCTAAGAACATCTATCCTCATAGTGGCAGCTGGGGAAAGGACAAATGGAAAGCGCTAAAGAAACAGTCTTGCCCTCTACCGCGGAAGGGAAAAGACAAAAGCCCGCAAAGACAAACATGGGGAAAGCCTAGAAACAATCCGTCCCCCGCCAGCAAGCTGGATGGAACATGGCCCCCGCAAGAAATCCAAACATGGAAGCCTAAACCCAATTCCTCCCTCCTGAGCAAGAGCATCGGAGGACCATGCCCCGCAGAACCAAACAATGGTAGCCTTAGAAACATCTCCCTCTGCAGCCCTTGGGAGGAACATGGGAAGGCCCTAGAAGAACATCCTTCCCACCATAACATCTTGGAGGACATCCGCAGAACAAACAAGTGATAGCCTTAGAAACATCACGCTTCCCCTACAAGCTGGAAAGGAACATGCCGCCAAGACAAAACATGGAAAGAGCCCAGAAAAACATCTCCTCTACAGCTTGGAAGGACATGCCCGCAAAGACCCTAAAAACTATGGGAGCCTAGAACCCCATCTCCTCCCTGCAGCCTGGGAGGACATGGCCGCCAAAGACCAAACCCAGGAAGGCCTAGAACCATCACCTCTGCAGCTAGGAGACATGGAAAAGGCGACGAGAACATCTCCTTCTGCTAGCTGGAGGACATGGGGAAAGCCCCTAAAGAAAAAACAATCTCCCCAACAGCAGCTGGAGGACCATCCCCGCAGACCAAGAACAATGGATTGCTCCTTACGTGGGGGGGAAATGGAACCAAGAACACCCTCCTCTACAGCTGGAGGACATGCCGCAGACCAACATGGAGCCTAGAACATCTCCTCTGCAGCTGGAGGACATGCCGCAGACCAACATGGAGCCTAGAACATCTCTCTTCACCTAAGCTCTTCAGCAGCAGCACCACATTCCCCAGGTTGGTCCTCTGGATCTCGGGAACAGTGGTCTCCTCCATCTCGTGCTTGAAGGCCCAGGCCGTGTAGAGGCGGAAACATTTCCCAGCAGCCACTCTGCCTGCTCGTCCCGCTCTCTGATTGGCTGAGGCCTGGCAGCAGGACACAGAGCAGAAACGGTTTAATGAAACCAGAAGAACGTGAAGATGCCTCTTCCTCATGATGAAGATGTATGGTGTGAGGAGCTCCAGGACCATCTTCATTTCTCACAGAAACCCGTTGATCTCTTGGTGAACAGAACCAGAATCCTTCACCTCTGGATGGACCTGTTCTGTTTGGATACATCTGCAGATCTTCCTCCAGTTAATCTGTCAGAAATCCTCAACCAGGAATTATTCATTCAGGTTTAAGTCAATCGATCCGATCGGAATTTGGTTTATTGCTTTAAAACAGGAAGTGATGGTTTGATCTGAGTTTTAACTCTGCGTTTCTCAGCGGTCCTGACTAGGCGGATCTGAATCAGTGGTCCTGAACCATTGGTTCCGACTAAACAGTTCTGACTAAGCAGTCCTGACCCGACGGGTTCTGACTAGGTGGTTTTGACCCAAGGGGTTCTGACTAGGCGGTCCTGACCCAAGGGGTTCTGACTAGGCGGTCCTGACCCAAGGGGTTCTGACTAGGCGGTCCTGACCCGACGGGTTCTGACTAGGTGGTTTTGACCCAAGGGGTCCTGACTAGGCTGTTTCCTCCCCAACAGGTTCTGACTAGACAGTTCTAACTAGGCAGTCCTGACCCGACGGTCGTGACCCGGCGGGTTCTGACTAGGCGGTCGTGACCCGACGGGTTCTGACTAGGCGGTCGTGACCCGACGGGTTCTGACTAGGCGGTCGTGACCCGACGGGTTCTGACTAGGCGGTCCTGACCCAAGGGGTTCTGACTAGGCGGTCCTGACCCAAGGGGTTCTGACTAGGCGGTCCTGACCCAAGGGGTTCTGACTAGGCGGTCCTGACCCAAGGGGTTCTGACTAGGCGGTCCTGACCCAAGGGGTTCTGACTAGGCGGTCCTGACCCGACGGGTTCTGACTAGGCGGTCCTGACCCAAGGGGTTCTGACTAGGCGGTCCTGACCCAAGGGGTTCTGACTAGGCGGTCCTGACCCAAGGGGTTCTGACTAGGCGGTCCTGACCCGACGGGTTCTGACTAGGCGGTCCTGACCCGACGGGTTCTGACTAGGCGGTCCTGACCCAAGGGGTTCTGACTAGGGGGTCGTGACCCGACGGGTTCTGACTAGGCGGTCCTGACCCAAGGGGTTCTGACTAGGCGGTCCTGACCCGACGGGTTCTGACTAGGCGGTCCTGACCCAAGGGGTTCTGACTAGGCGGTCGTGACCCGACGGGTTCTGACTAGGCGGTCGTGACCCGACGGGTTCTGACTAGGCGGTCCTGACCCAAGGGGTTCTGACTAGGCGGTCCTGACCCAAGGGGTTCTGACTAGGCGGTCCTGACCCAAGGGGTTCTGACTAGGCGGTCCTGACCCGACGGGTTCTGACTAGGCGGTCCTGACCCAAGGGGTTCTGACTAGGGGGTCGTGACCCGACGGGTTCTGACTAGGCGGTCGTGACCCGACGGGTTCTGACTAGGCGGTCCTGACCCAAGGGGTTCTGACTAGGCGGTCGTGACCCGACGGGTTCTGACTAGGCGGTCGTGACCCAAGGGGTTCTGACTAGGCGGTCCTGACCCAAGAGGTTCTGACTAGGCGGTCCTGACCCAAGAGGTTCTGACTAGGCGGTCCTGACTCGGCGATCTGACTCAGCAGTCCGGAACCATTAGTCCTGACTAGGCTATTTCCTACCCAACGGGTTCTGACTAGGCGGTCCTGACCCGGCGGTCCTCCTGCTGACCCTGAAGCTCTGATCCCTGATTCTTCTGCAGACAGGACAGCGGCAGTAACCAGATGGACCTGCAGCAGCAGACCAAGGCTGACTGACCCAACTACTCGTCTCCCATCACTAGTTCTGCAGCAGCTGGGGGTCAAAGGTTAACTACCCGTGAGCAGGGCGTGACGATCAGCGACTCCATGCCGGTGCGGGCGTTGTAGCTCTTCTGCTTGCAGAAGCCGGGGTCGATGACGTAGATGATGCCGTCGATGGTCAGCGAGGTTTCTGCGATGTTGGTGGCCACCACCACCTTAGAGAGGAGGTCAGAGGTCAGAGGCTGAGCCATCCACAGAGACCCCCACACAGAGCTTAGACCGACCTTCCGGGCTCCAGGGGGAGTCGGGCTGAAGATCTTGGCCTGCATGTCTGACGGCAGGTTGGCGTAGATGGGGAGGACGACCAGCTCGGCGATCTTGGACCCCAGCCGCCTGCACCTCTCCTGCAGCATCTCGCAGCACGCCTCGATCTCCTCCTGCAAACAGAGGGCGTCAGGGAGTGGGCGGAGCTAACAGAAACATCCTTCAAAGCAGGAGGAGATCATCATCAGGGTCCTTCATGGCCCTAAATAAAAGCCGATCAGGTGGAGGACGTAGACCATCTTTTCCTGGGTTTCCACTTCCTGGTTGTTTTCCTCCCTCACTGTTTACATTCTGATCACTGCTGCACTTTATGAATGTTCATTTATGCTAAGCTGCTCGTTCACCGTCTGACAGCTGCATGCATCCAAATGTCATCTTGTAACCAATCTGTGGACAATATTACACTAAAGTTTGTCCAAGTCAGACAGCGCCACCTACTGCCAATGCTCCATGAACATTTTCCTGCTCTGCTCCCAAACAATCCATGAACAACAAAGCTGCAGCTGATTAGCTGTAACTATCCCCAAACCTCAGCTCTGTTCAGCCGCCACCTTAAAACCTATTTTATCGTCAAACTTGGACTAAAAATCTGACATTTAGTCTGAAGAAAAAGACTGAGAGCTGATCTTTATTATTACTTTCATTAAAGGTGAGCTTTGAATGTGAAAAATCAGGAGGGAATGTTTTTTTAGAAATACGCAGCTCATATTCAGATGAGCAACTTTATGAGTGGAGGCAGAGCTGGGTGATAACATATTAACAATATGTGATGTGAAAGAAGTTATGAGACCGCCGCCATGACGCTGTGACGGACCAATAGGAACAGAGCCAGGTCAGGTTAGGTTGTGTCTATGTCTGGGCTGCAGCAGCCAACTCAACAACAGCAACAAAAAAAAAGATGGCTCCTTCTGGAGGGAATCCAACGGAGAACATCGGTAACGTTACGGAAAAGTAGGAGATTGCTGAACGGAAGCGCCCAAACAGTTCGGCAGCGTGGAGGAATTTCAGGTGTGGCAGACTGTCGACCCCCTTAGCCAAACCCAGTGCCTGAAGTTAGAGCTCAGTCTGTTCACCCCCGTTACTCTGATTCCCCTAAATCCAACCCTGGGCCTCCAGCAGACGCCTCATCAGCGTTTCCTGTAAACTCTGTTCTATAAATGGTACCTGTCCGGTGAGGAAGACCAGAACGTCTCCTGGAGGCTGAGTGACGTGGATCTGCAGCACTGAAACCACACATGCATCCAGGTAGTCCGCCTCTGGAGCCTAAACACACGGGGGGGATAAAACAGTAAAATATCAAAACACACGGAAAAGTATTTGGTATAAAGTCGGTTACAGATGTTCTGGAAACTCTGAGCTGAAGGAGGAGGAGCAGAGGAGGAACCCTGCAGTAGTATAGGTACAGGAGGAGCAGAGTATAGGAGTATAGGGACAGGAGGAGCAGAGTATAGGGACAGGAGGAGCAGAGTATAGGGACAGGAAGAGCAGAGTATAGGAGTATAGGGACAGGAGGAGCAGAGGAGGAACCCTGCAGGAGTATAGGGACAGGAGGAGCAGAGTATAGGAGTATAGGGACAGGAGGAGCAGAGTATAGGAGTATAGGGACAGGAGGAGCAGAGTATAGGAGTATAGGGACAGGAGGAGCAGAGTATAGGAGTATAGGGACAGGAGGAGCAGAGTATAGGAGTATAGGGACAGGAGGAGCAGAGTATAGGGACAGGAGGAGCAGAGTATAGGAGTATAGGGACAGGAGGAGCAGAGTATAGGGACAGGAGGAGCAGAGTATAGGGACAGGAAGAGCAGAGTATAGGAGTATAGGGACAGGAGGAGCAGAGGAGGAACCCTGCAGGAGTATAGGGACAGGAGGAGCAGAGTATAGGAGTATAGGGACAGGAGGAGCAGAGTATAGGAGTATAGGGACAGGAGGAGCAGAGTATAGGAGTATAGGGACAGGAGAAGCAGAGTATAGGAGTATAGGGACAGGAGAAGCAGAGTATAGGAGTATAGGGACAGGAGGAGCAGAGTATAGGGACAGGAGGAGCAGAGTATAGGAGTATAGGGACAGGAGGAGCAGAGTATAGGAGTATAGGGACAGGAGGAGCAGAGTATAGGGACAGGAGGAGCAGAGTATAGGAGTATAGGGACAGGAGGAGCAGAGTATAGGGACAGGAGGAGCAGAGTATAGGAGTATAGGGACAGGAGGAGCAGAGTATAGGAGTATAGGGACAGGAGGAGCAGAGTATAGGAGTATAGGGACAGGAGGAGCAGAGTATAGGGACAGGAGAAGCAGAGTATAGGAGTATAGGGACAGGAGGAGCAGAGTATAGGGACAGGAGGAGCAGAGTATAGGAGTATAGGGACAGGAGGAGCAGAGTATAGGAGTATAGGGACAGGAGGAGCAGAGTATAGGGACAGGAGGAGCAGAGTATAGGAGTATAGGGACAGGAGGAGCAGAGTATAGGGACAGGAGGAGCAGAGTATAGGAGTATAGGGACAGGAGGAGCAGAGTATAAGGAGTATAGGGACAGGAGGAGCAGAGTATAGGAGTATAGGGAACAGGAGAAGCAGAGTATAGGGAGTATAGGGACAGGAGGAGCAGAGTATAGGGACAGGAGGAGCAGAGTATAGGAGTATAGGGACAGGAGGAGCAGAGTATAGGAGTATAGGGACAGGAGGAGCAGAGTATAGGGACAGGAGGAGCAGAGTATAGGAGTATAGGGACAGGAGGAGCAGAGTATAGGAGTATAGGGACAGGAGGAGCAGAGTATAGGAGTATAGGGACAGGAGGAGCAGAGTATAGGAGTATAGGGACAGGAGGAGCAGAGTAGAGTATAGGGACAGGAGGAGCAGAGTATAGGAGTATAGGGACAGGAGGAGCAGAGTATAGGGACAGGAGGAGCAGAGTATAGGAGTATAGGGACAGGAGGAGCAGAGTATAGGGACAGGAGGAGCAGAGTATAGGAGTATAGGGACAGGAGGAGCAGAGTATAGGAGTATAGGGACAGGAGGAGCAGAGTATAGGAGTATAGGGACAGGAGAAGCAGAGTATAGGAGTATAGGGACAGGAGGAGCAGAGTATAGGGACAGGAGGAGCAGAGTATAGGAGTATAGGGACAGGAGGAGCAGAGTATAGGAGTATAGGGACAGGAGGAGCAGAGTATAGGGACAGGAGGAGCAGAGTATAGGAGTATAGGGACAGGAGGAGCAGAGTATAGGGACAGGAGGAGCAGAGTATAGGAGTATAGGGACAGGAGGAGCAGAGTATAGGAGTATAGGGACAGGAGGAGCAGAGTATAGGAGTATAGGGACAGGAGGAGCAGAGTATAGGGACAGGAGAAGCAGAGTATAGGAGTATAGGGACAGGAGGAGCAGAGTATAGGGACAGGAGGAGCAGAGTATAGGAGTATAGGGACAGGAGGAGCAGAGGAGGAACCCTGCAGGAGTATAGGGACAGGAGGAGCAGAGTATAGGAGTATAGGGACAGGAGGAGCAGAGTATAGGAGTATAGGGACAGGAGGAGCAGAGTATAGGAGTATAGGGACAGGAGAAGCAGAGTATAGGAGTATAGGGACAGGAGGAGCAGAGTATAGGGACAGGAGGAGCAGAGTATAGGGACAGGAGGAGCAGAGTATAGGGACAGGAGGAGCAGAGTATAGGGACAGGAGGAGCAGAGTATAGGGACAGGAGGAGCAGAGTATAGGGACAGGAGGAGCAGAGTATAGGAGTATAGGGACAGGAGGAGCAGAGTATAGGAGTATAGGGACAGGAGGAGCAGAGTATAGGAGTATAGGGACAGGAGGAGCAGAGTATAGGAGTATAGGGACAGGAGGAGCAGAGGAGGACCAGATGGGATCCAAATGGATCAGAACCAAGTGGGGGGGTCATTGAAGCGGAACTCAGAGGACCTGCAGCCTTTAGTCACCGATCAAAACATTTAAGGGTTGAAGCGGATTAATGGATTTTCCGACTCGGCGCTCCGACCAAAGGAAGGATTTCTGAACGATGGAGGGAAGGAAAGAGCAAAGGGCCGATGAGGGTCCACCCGCTGAGACCGGGACCAGCTTAGCTCCGATTCAGCCTCTACGTTCCTACCCTCACCTCTGGTCATTAATCTGGATCAGGACCCAAAGAACCAGATCCTGGATCCCAGCTTCCTCTGCAGGGAGGCTGGGCTCTCCCTCAGAGAGAGGGTGAGGAGCTAGGTCATCAGGGGGAGGCTCAGAGTAGAGCTGCTTCCCCTCCAGAGGAGTCAGCTGAGGAGGATCAGACATCTTTATCAGAGGGACGTCCCACCAGGAGGAGGACCAGGACACCGTGGATGGACTGTGTCTCTCTGCTGGCCTGGAGGAGTCTGGGAGTCTCTGCTGAGGCTAGAGATCTGGTTCTGGATAATAGGAGACGACGAGGAGGAGGAACTGATGTTGCTTTGAACTGAACAACCAGGGAATCAGATCCTATCGATCAAAGCGACTCGGTTTCAGAGACGCTTGTTTCTACTGTAGCTGACAGAGGTGGAACCAACAGAAAGAGGATTTCATTCTTATGTTCTAAGCAGACTGGAACTCGTAGACCTGCAGTGTGTCTGAGTGGGTCTACGCTCTGAGAAAAGGAAGGCCGACCCCGACAGGAGGAGACTCACTTTAGTGTAGAAGATGTCGACGGGGAACCTCCTGCCAGGGATCCTGAAAACAGGGGCGTCATCGAAGAAGCAGGAAAAGCGCTCCGTGTCCAACGTGGCGCTCGCTACCAGAACCTTCAGGTCGGGTCGGAACCTGGCGATGTCTTTGATGAGGCCGAACAGGATGTCTGTGTGGAGCGTTCGCTCGTGGGCTTCGTCTATGATGATCACACTGCAGGAGAAACACAGGCTGAGGAACACGGAAGACAAAAGCTGAACCCAGTGGACCTGGAGACAGACCTGGAGACAGAGAGACCTGAAGGGGAGACGGAGACCTGAGGTGCATTTATCAAACTTCAGAGTCGACCTCCGAGTTCAAAGCAGGGTTAGGGTTAGGGTTTCCTGAAAGCGTGCACACGCGCGTTCACGAGTCTACGGAAGCCGGCAGACCAAACCAGCGCATTCAGCTCGGCAAAGAACTCATGCTCTTCCTCAACACTGAAGTCCTCAGATATTTTTCTTTCGTTGTTTCTTTCTTTGCACAGGTAAACAGCACATTTCTTCTTCTACGCTTGCATTATCGGCAGAGCAGACGCTGAATGCGCACTTTCATCTGGTTTGGTCTGCCGGCTTCCGTAGCGTCGTGAGCGCGCATGTGCGTGCTTTCAGGAAATCCTATACACTACTGTTTATGCTCTAAAAACATTCTAAATGACTTCGTTTCGAGTAAATTCTGGACGCTACCCACTCAGGACACTTGGAATACATTGGACGAGCAGTATGGAGGAATATTGACACGTTTTTTGTGGACTTTTATGGACCTTTCTGCCTCGGGCGCCATAGACCTCCATTATTTGAATGTCAGCAGACAGCAAGAAGCCTCCCAGATCTCCAGATGCATTTGAGATATCAAAAAAGTACTCCAGAGTGTTGTTCAGCATGGGGGGGAGTAGAAAATGAAGGCTAATCATGTTTTGGGTGTACTATTCCTTTAAAGCGGCTCGGTCCAAACAGACTGATCATCAAAGCCAAAATGTCTTCAGCTCCCAGAACGTCCGCATCCGTCTCCCTCTCCCCAGCACCGCCCTCTAGTGGTAAATCCTGCTCACCGCAGAGAGCTCTGTAGGTCTGAAACATTCAGGGAGTAGAACGGAGTGTCCAGGTCAGTGGCGCCCCCTCCAGGCCTGCAGAGGAAGCACACAGACCTGCCTATCTGGCTCCAGCAGCGTACCTGTAGGAGGCCAGGTCCGGTTCTGTCAGGAACTCTCTCAGCAGCATCCCGTCCGTCATGTACTTCAGGACGGTCCGCTCAGAGGTGCAGTCCTCAAAGCGAATGCTGTACCCCACCTGGAGGACGGCAGGAAGCAGACCGTCACTGAGCCACGCCTCCAGAACATTCTCACGCCCCAGGTTCTGCTGGCGGCGGGCTCACCTCGTTGCCAAGCTTCACGCTCATCTCCTCTGCCACCCGGGCCGCCACAGACATGGCGGCCACCCTGCGAGGCTGAGTGCAGCCGATCTTCATCCCTCCTTTGGTGTAGCCCTGAAAGACGGCGGCAGTTAGAGACACGGACCCACCTGATACCACGGATCCTGGCTAAACGCTTCCTCCACTGTCAGAGTGAAGAGAACCCGGTTATGATGGCCGCTGGAACTCACGTCTTCCAGGAGGTACTGAGGGATCTGGGTGGTCTTCCCTGAGCCAGTCTCGCCCTCGATGACCAGGATCTGGTGCTCATGGATGGCAGCCAGCAGGTCGTCTCTGTAGGGGAAGATGGGCAGGCTGCGGCGGACCTCCTGCATGGAGCGCTTCTTCAGCTCGGCCTGAGACAGCGCCTGCTGCTCCTCCTCCTGAACGCAGCATTAGAAAACTGACATCATCTAGTCTGAACAAGAAGCTGAACATTCAGTGGGAGGTAGCTCAGCTAGATCAGAGCTCACAATCAACCCCGTGAACTGGAGATGTTCTGGTGAACAGGACCTGGTTCTAATGAACGGGTCCTGATGAACCGCTTCTGGTTCTCACGAACAGGCCCTACCTCTTGTGAACAGTTCCTAGTGTTAGTGAACAGGACCTGGTTCTAGTAAACAGGTCCTGGTGAATAGGTCCTGGTTCTAGGGAAAAGGTCCTTGTTCTAGTTAACAGGTAGTGAACAGGTCCTGGTGAACAGTCTCTGGTGAACAGGCAATGGTGAACAGGTCCTTGTTCTAGTTAACAGGTCCTGGTGAACAGGTACTTGTTCTAGTTAACAGGTCCTGGTGAACAGGTACTTGTTCTAGTTAACAGGTCCTGGTGAAAAGGTCCTTGTTCTAGTGAACAGGTTCTGGTGAACAGGTCCTTGTTCTAGTTAACAGGTCCTGGTGAAAAGGTCCTTGTTCTAGTGAACAGGTTCTGGTGAACAGGTCCTTGTTCTAGTTAACAGGTCCTGACAGGTCCTGGTGAACAGGTCCTTGTCCTAGTGAACAGGTCCTTGTTCTAGTTAACAGGTCCTGGTGAACAGGTACTTGTTCTAGTTAACAGGTCCTGGTGAAAAGGTCCTTGTTCTAGTGAACAGGTCCTTGTTCTAGTTAACAGGTCCTGGTGAACAGGTACTTGTTCTAGTTAACAGGTCCTGGTGAACAGGTACTTGTTCTAGTTAACAGGTCCTGGTGAAAAGGTCCTTGTTCTAGTGAACAGGTTCTGGTGAACAGGTCCTTGTTCTAGTTAACAGGTCCTGACAGGTCCTGGTGAACAGGTCCTTGTCCTAGTGAACAGGTCCTTGTTCTAGTTAACAGGTCCTGGTGAACAGGTACTTGTTCTAGTTAACAGGTCCTGGTGAAAAGGTCCTTGTTCTAGTGAACAGGTTCTGGTGAACAGGTACTTGTTCTAGTTAACAGGTCCTGGTGAACAGGTACTTGTTCTAGTTAACAGGTTCTGGTGAACAGGTCCTTGTTCTAGTTAACAGGTCCTGACAGGTCCTGGTGAACAGGTCCTGGTGAACAGCTCCTTGTTCTAGTGAACAGGTCCCGGTGAACAGGTCCTTCCTCCTCACCTTGTCGGAGCGCGTTCCCTTCATGGTGATGGCTGTGCTGACGAAGTCGATCATCTCCTCCTCCTCCAGGATCAGCTGGTACCTCTCCTGCTCCTCCTTCAGACCCAGCTCTCGCTCCTTCTTGGCTCCGAAGCTGAGGGAGGCCGTCTTCAGCCTCTCCTCCTCCCAGCGGCCCTGTTCTCCTCCCAGCTCCATGGGGGTTTCCTCCAGCTCCAGCTCCCTCTGAGGAACCTCCTAGCAGATGGAAGAAGGTCTGTTAGTCCAACCGGGTTTTCTCTCTGCCATCTTCAGGAGGTAACGCTCTCCTCTCACCTTGCTCCTCTTCTCCTCCGGCATGTAGTACCTGTTCTTCCTCTCCTCCTGCTCCTTGGCTCCGGCCTTCTTGTAATCCTTGGCCAGATCTCGGAGCGTCCGCTTGTACTCCAGGTCTTTCCTTTCCTTCTCTGTCAGCTCCTCTGTGGAGAACAGGTACTCCTCATCCAGGATCTCCGCCTCCAGGTCCTCCAGCTTCTCTGCCTCTCTCTTCTTCAGGTATTCCCAGCGGGAACGCTTTCTCAGCTCCGGGACCTGAACGCAGACACGCCAACTTTAGAACGAGACTAAAACCTGGAAATACCCCAAACTGGAGACGGATTGGACTAACCATGTTCTTCTGGTCATCTTCAGCCATCTTCAGCCGTTTCTGAGCTTCTTCATAAGCCTGAGGAGAGAAGCAGGAGGAGATGAAGCCTCCACCTGTAGGGGGCGCCGCCTTCTCCTCTATAAACAGTGTCTCCCACCTTCTTATCCGTCCGCTCGGCGATGTTCCGGGTCTTCTCCTTGTCCTTCTCCCTCACTCTCTGAGCGAATTCGTCTCTGGCCTTTATGTCCTGCTGCCGCTCCCTCTCCTCCTTCTCCCACTCCTCCTCCTCCTCCTCCTCCTCCTTCATGGATCGGCGTTCGTCTTGGACAGAAAGGCCCCTGAGATCACAGAGTTGCTGTTAGAAGCAGGGAAAAGCTGCAGCTTCAGGATCTCCTGCTCCGACCTTCACCTCCTCTCAGTTTCATCGTCGCTCGACTCGCTTCCTTTCTTCTGTCTGATGTTCTTCCTCTTGCTTCCTCTCTTCTCCTCCTTGCTCTTCTTCTTCTTCCCCGCCGGTCTGTCCCTGGCCTCCTCTTCTCCGCTGTCGCTGTCCTCCAGCAGCGTGTATGTCCGATTCTTCCTCTCCATCTCTATGGCCATCCGCTCCACCGCTTTAGACGGCTTCTCCACCACCTGCTGGCGAGGAATCTGCAGCAGAACGCAGGAGTTACTGCTCAGCTAATATTACTAACACTGCTTTCCTGGCTGTTAACCACCATTTCTCAGTAGAACCAGTGTTTTCCTCCATGTCTGCCCCTGGTATCTGAGCCCGCCCCTGGTATCTGACCCTGCCCCCATCCCGTTAGATACCTTCTCAAACAGCTCCTTGGCGAAGGCGGTGACACTCTGGTCAATGTCTATGGTCCCCGTCTGCTCCAGGCGGCTCACCAGGTCCTCTGGGCTGGACGCTTTGCGAGCGATGCCGATCATGAACTGGGAGACGTAGCGGTCGCTCAGACCCAGGATGTCGTGCAGACGGTCGTTGACCCATTGTTCCAGCTGAGCCATGGCGCCGCAGCCGCTTTACCTGCAGCAACAGAAACTATTTAGTCCAAAGACACCAAAATTATTCATTCTAATGTTAATTTCTATTTATCCAGTTCTTACTGGTTTGGGATCAATAATTACAAAGAAAATATGAAGATCACATAAAACCAGGGAAAGATGATGATGATGATGGATGGATGGATGGATGGATGGATGGATGGATGGATGGATGGATGGATGGATGGATGGATGGATGGATGGATGGATGATGGATGGATGATGGATGGATGATGGATGATGGATGGATGATGGATGGATGATGGATGGATGATGGATGGATGATGGATGATGGATGGATGATGGATGGATGATGGATGGATGATGGATGGATGGATGGATGATGGATGGATGGATGATGGATGGATGGATGGATGGATGGATGGATGGATGGATGGATGGATGATGGATGGATGGATGGATGGATGGATGATGGATGGATGGATGGATGGATGGATGGATGATGGATGGATGATGGATGGATGATGGATGGATGGATGGATGATGGATGGATGATGGATGGATGATGGATGGATGGATGATGGATGGATGATGGATGGATGATGGATGGATGGATGGATGAATGGATGATGGATGGATGGATGATGGATGGATGATGGATGGATGGATGATGGATGGATGATGGATGGATGGATGATGGATGGATGATGGATGGATGGATGGATGGATGATGGATGGATGGATGATGGATGGATGGATGGATGATGGATGGATGATGGATGGATGATGGATGGATGGATGATGGATGGATGGATGATGGATGGATGATGGATGGATGATGGATGGATGATGGATGGATGGATGATGGATGGATGATGGATGGATGGATGATGGATGGATGGATGATGGATGGATGATGGATGGATGATGGATGGATGGATGATGGATGGATGGATGATGGATGGATGATGGATGGATGATGGATGGATGATGGATGGATGATGGATGGATGGATGATGGATGGATGGATGGATGATGGATGGATGATGGATGGATGGTGGATGGATGATGGATGGATGGATGATGGATGGATGATGGATGGATGGATGATGGATGGATGGATGATGGATGGATGATGGATGGATGATGGATGGATGGATGATGGATGGATGATGGATGGATGATGGATGGATGATGGATGGATGATGGATGGATGGATGATGGATGGATGATGGATGGATGGATGATGGATGGATGATGGATGGATGGATGATGGATGGATGATGGATGGATGGATGATGGATGGATGGATGATGGATGGATGATGGATGGATGGATGATGGATGGATGATGGATGGATGGATGATGGATGGATGGATGATGGATGGATGGATGATGGATGGATGATGGATGGATGATGGATGGATGATGGATGGATGATGGATGGATGGATGATGGATGGATGGATGGATGATGGATGGATGGATGGATGATGGATGGATGGATGATGGATGGATGATGGATGGATGGATGATGGATGGATGATGGATGGATGGATGGATGGATGATGGATGGATGATGGATGGATGGATGGATGATGGATGGATGATGGATGGATGGATGATGGATGGATGGATGGATGATGGATGGATGATGGATGGATGATGGATGGATGATGGATGGATGATGGATGGATGGATGATGGATGGATGGATGATGGATGGATGATGGATGGATGGATGATGGATGGATGGATGATGGATGATGGATGGATGGATGATGGATGGATGGATGGATGATGGATGGATGGGTGATGGATGGATGGATGATGGATGGATGGATGATGGATGGATGGATGATGGATGGATCATGGATGGATGGATGGATGATGGATGGATGGATGATGGATGGATGGATGATGGATGGATGGATGATGGATGGATGGATGGATGATGGATGGATGATGGATGGATGATGGATGGATGATGGATGGATGATGGATGGATGGATGATGGATGGATGGATGATGGATGGATGGATGATGGATGGATGATGGATGGATGGATGATGGATGGATGATGGATGGAAGGATGATGGATGGATGGATGATGGATGGATGGATGATGGATGGATGATGGATGGATGGATGATGGATGGATGGATGATGGATGGATGGATGATGGATGGATGATGGATGGATGGATGATGGATGGATGGATGATGGATGGATGGATGATGGATGGATGATGGATGGATGGATGATGGATGGATGATGGATGGATGGATGGATGGATGGATGATGGATGGATGGATGATGGATGGATGGATGATGGATGGATGATGGATGGATGGATGATGGATGGATGGATGATGGATGGATGGATGATGGATGGATGATGGATGGATGGATGATGGATGGATGGATGATGGATGGATGGATGATGGATGGATGATGGATGGATGATGAACATGATACCAAATACAGTCTTGAATTTAAAGTAGTTCTTTTCTGCACTGACCTGTTTCTGGAAATCCTGCAGGTTCAGTGATGCTTTGAGTTCGCAGCAGACGATAATTAATCAGCTGATAGGAAGGAACAGATCAGGGCAGAAATCAACACCAAATAAACTAAAACAGGAAGATTAGAAAAGAGAGAGTTGGTAGACTGGGTTGGTTTTAATAAAACTGAATTATCCAATCAGAATCAAGGGAAGAGGAGGCCTAGTGGTTAGAGCATAGAGCTTGGAATCCAAAGGTCCTGGGTCCCTGAGCAAGACCCAAAGTTGATGATGTCTGAAGCCTCGCTACTGCGATACCATGTGACCGCTTCAGGAAGTCGTTCAGAAAGAAGAACTTCGGCAGGCATTTAAACAGCCTCAGTGTTCAGTCCAGATGTGGGAGTTAGGAGAGTTACTGTAGAGGTTGGATAGATTCTAAGAATAGATTGGTTGGAAAAAACAACCAATCTAGTTGGTTTAAACTATCTTGGTCAGATTAATATCTGTGCAGGCCATCGGACACAGCTGTTTCTCTAGTGCTGAGTCGTATTGCTCTGCATTCAGCAGATCTGTGTTGGAGGCATCAGCTGTAAGACTTTCACTCTGAAGGTTGATGGTTCAAGACCCAACTCTGACTTCTGGAAGTTGTGATTATACTTTTGGCTAATGAGACTCATTTGTATTGGTTTGCCCAAATATAGATTGGATAAAAACACTGCCGAATTAGATTGGTTGGTTGAACACATAAATTTCCAGCCAATTAAAACCAGAAGCTGTGGAGAAACTAGCAGCCGGCCACAGTCACAGCAAACATGGCTACCTACTATGAAGCTGTCAGTGAAAAAAACAATGCTAATGCTTGGGTCCTGAAGCGGTCACATGGAGCTACGTCCCCAGCCATAGGCAGCCATGTTTGTTGTGACTTCTTCTTCTTGTGAGGTTTTATGGCGGTTGGCAAACTGGTGAGAAGCGCATCACCGCCACCAACTGATCTGGAGTAAAGCAAGGAAACAGGAAACCATTCACCCCAGAAACAAACAAAAAACCCGTATAACTTAACCCAACATAACTACTAAATCACATTTGCCTTTATAATTTTAATTTATCGTCACTCTGCCAGTTTCTGATGGTCCGACTGGTTTTCCCATCATGCTTCCAACCATTTCCCAGTTTAAATCTTTAACTTCCAGTGATTTTTCTGCAGCTTTCACTATTTTTTTTTTTTTTCGGGTTTTTTGTCGTGCACTACAGCTGATCACTTCAACCATGAATAGAACAAAATCTTTTTAACAATCAGTGAATTTTCTCAAATTTTGGGGCATTTCTCCAGAGGTTTGGAATCTGCCGTGTGTTGAACTGTTGGTTTGATTTTTTCTAACTGAGATGGGATTTTTTTTTGCAGCTTCAGCTTAAGTTATTCTGAGCTCTAATTTCTGCTCACTTCACAGCTGCCATAAGCAGCAGTTTGTTCTCCTCCACAGTTACAGCATTTGATTTCAGCTTCTTTTCCACATTTTCTGTACTCATGCTCTCCTGCACACCTTCCACACCTCTGTTTCCTTTACAAACTGCTGCTATGCGTCCAAATTTTTAGCAATTAGATTGTAGATTTTAACGTTATAGCTGATGTAACCAATGAATGCTTTGCTGGTTAATTGCTCTTCTTCAAATTTAATTAATACCGATAAACTGTCAGATCTTTCTCCGTTTCTTGTTGTTTTTAATCGTTTTACTTCTTTTACTTTTTCACCGCTTATGTTTTCTAGAATTTCTTTTTCAGAAACTCTTAGAGGAACTCCTCCAATGACTCCCCTGCTGATGGTTTTGTTCTCCATTAAGCTGCACTGAACTCTTTTCCCTCCATCTTGTTAATCCGAATAGCTTTGCCTTGCTGGGCGCCGTCTCTGCAGTAGGGTTGTCACAATACTAAACTTTTCAACTCGATACGATACTAAGGAAAATATTTGACACTCGATACCATTTTCGATACCACAAGGATAATTCAACCGAAATATTTTCATTAATAAATAAAGACAATAAAGGTTGTAGGCTGTGCACAATATTAGGCAAGGTTGATGAAAAACTTATAAAATTAAAATTAAGTGTTTCTTCCTTGGCTATGCTTTGCACACATAGCAATGACACGAGCCATACCGGTTAAAAAAACAAAAATAATTCTCAGCAGCTGCACCTCTTACAAAAAAAAAAGTCTGAAACTGAAAAGTGTAGAATTATTCAATCACACAGTGTTCAGAAAGTGCATTTTCCTCTATTCTGCACCTTAGGTGAATGACTGCTTAGGTGCCATTGGTGGTAGCACTGTAACGATACTTTTAAAAATGAGTATTGTATCCGGATACAACGTTTCAGTATCAATACTTTTTTGAATTTGTAAAAGATCATCCAGTCAGATTGATTCAAAGTTTTCTATCTAAGGAAAACCAGCTGATTGCATCGACTCATTGACTCTTCAGCAATCCCTCACACTAAGCATGCTTGTAGCGACAGTGGAGAGGAAAAACTCCCTTTGAACAGGAAGAAACCTCCAGCAGAACCAGGCTCAGTGTGAGCGGCCATCTGCTGAGGCCCACTGGGGTTCAAGGAGACAGAAGCAGACATAGATTCTAACAAGTTTGAATACGAGTTTGTATTCATTTTGTTTTGCTGTGGAATGTATGGATCGATCATCACTTGAATGTTCTGAACTGGACTCCCCTTTAACTGATCTCTGCTTTTTATCATTTTTTGACGTTGCTATCTTCCAACCTTCTTCATTGTCACTATTTCCTTCTTCCATCCCATAAGAATCGCTTCCTGTTTCCTCGCTACTCACGGCCCCGGACATTTCTCCACAAGCAGCTGAGAAACTAACCTGACAACAGTCAGATGTCAGGTTACTTAGAAACACGCGCCATGCCCCAAACGACCATCCAGCTGAGGTCCGTTTGTTGTGACTGTGACCGACTAATCAATGGGCAGAAGGTGACCCTCTAAGCCACGCCCCTCATTTGCATAATGAAGCAGAAATGGAAAAACCAAAGGCAGAAATAAACAGCATGGAAGAAATAAATAGGGTAAAAAAATAGAAGAATAAAACAGACAAAAATATTATAACATGCACATAAATAAATTCTTAAAGAAATAAGTAATAAAGTTGAAGATTATAACGGACAATAAATAAACAAGGTAATTATTACAAAGGCAAAAAAAACTAAGAAGCTAATTAAAAGATAATATATATATATACAATTATGCCTCACTGTATAATTTAATTTCTACCTACTTTTATTTGTTTATTGTATTTTTTTGGAGGGGGCAATTAATTGTATGCTAATAATTTTTGGAGCATTTATTTATTTCTGTATTTATTTTTAATTCTGGCAGGATTGGTCCTCCATAGAAACCAGAGGAGAGCTGAAAATCTGACTGTTTAAATGTCCAATAAAATAAAACAGGTTTAAATATCATTTTTAGGAGGATTTGCTCCTAAACCTTAGTTTTTAAAACGTTTCTAAGCTGGTTTCTGGGATGAAGAAGTTAATAAAGTTTTTATTAATTCAGGATGTTTAATAAAAGTCTGTAAATGTTTCCCGGACTGTAAATCCTGGATTGTTTCTTGAATCTTCTGATTAACGGTGAGAAGCAGCTTCACTCACCTCCTTCCAGTCGATCAAACACCGATAAACTAAAAATATAAACTAATTAAAAGCTTTTCTTTAGACGCAGCTAAAAGCGGAGAGGCTGAAACTGCTCCTGTCGCCATCAAGCAAACTTTATCTCACTGCTTTAAAAAGCGCCAACAGGTTAAGTTAGCTAGCTCTGCACAGAGCAACACACGGAGCTAACAGGAAGCACGTGACCGGACGCGCTTAAAGCAGCAAAGGGCGCGGCTGACACCGCCCCCTGTGGACACACCAGGAACTACAGCTAAGCGTTATAGGTCATCCTGGAGAAAGGAAACTAGTTGAGATTACAGCTCTGTAGGCTTGGTAAAGGTCAACAAAGTCAAACTTAAACATTTATTTAAACATGAAAATGTTATTTTAAAGCTTTTACAATATCTTCTTAAGTTACATTTGGTCTTATTGTAGGATGGTAGCCTCTCATTATCACATATAGGTGGACCAACAGTTGGTCTCCTTGTTTGATGAAAGAAAATCCTCACATGGATCAAGGAAATGTCTCCCATCTGACTAAATAATTAACAAATAAAAGAATATCTGATAATAACAAATGAAACTCAGACATAGAGTCAATATCTGCCATGATTGGTTCCTGTTCCTGTCAATCAGCCCTCTGCTCCTCCCAGCAGTTATTCTCCTCTGCTCCTCATCCAGGAGAATTTTCCTGTTTCAGCTCCTTCCAGAGATGCTCAGTAGGGTGGAGATCGGGGCCCCTAGGGGCCCCTTCAGAACAGTCCAGTGTTTCCCTCTCAGCCGCTCGTGGCTGTTTCTAGCTCTGACCTTTGACCTGCTGCAGACCAAGCATCCTGACCCTGCAGCTCATTTCTCTCTATGATCCCTGATAGTCTGGAGATTTTAATGGACCCTGCAGGGATTCAGATGAAGCAAAGCAGCCCACAGCATGACACAGCCTCCTCCATGTTTCTTCTTTTCTGGAACTGCTTCATTTTTCTGTGAACATAGAGCTCATGTTGTTGGCATGAAGCTCCATGTTTGTCTCCTCTGTCCAGACAATGTTCTTCTAGATTCTAGGACCTAGAAGCTTTGTTTCTGGTCAACATTTAGTTTGGTCCAATGAATTGAATTCATTTGAATTCAGTTTATCACATCATGTCATCTCAGGTCACTTTCCAGTTCACCAGATCATCCAGTCAGATTGATTCAAAGTTTTCTATCTAAGGAAAACCAGCTGATTGCATCGACTCATTGACTCTTCAGCAATCCCTCACACTAAGCATGCTTGTAGCGACAGTGGAGAGGAAAAACTCCCTTTGAACAGGAAGAAACCTCCAGCAGAACCAGGCTCAGTGTGAGCGGCCATCTGCTGAGGCCCACTGGGGTTCAAGGAGACAGAAGCAGACATAGAAAAAGAAGCATAGATACAAAAGGCAACTGTCAACCAGCTC